CAGGGGTGGCGGCTTCGTCCAATCTATTTTTTGTTCTTCTAGAAAGTGTCCCCATACTGGAGTCTTTTTGTTTTCTTCTTTACAGCCTTCCAATACTCACTCGCTGCACTTTTTCTCTAGGAAGAGTATCGTTCTTTCCTTCTTTCTGTATTCTGTTCTTGCGTATTGCCAGCATTGGTATTCGCCCTCCTCCATGTGCAACGCTTGTACGCATTACTTGTTGGGCGGGGCGGGGGTCTCTAGCAACCTGTTTGGGCGTTTGGGTATTTCGGATTGCAGCTTCGAAACCAACTCGTGGTAGCCAGGCCCCTCTGGCACATAGGCCCTGGCAACGCCATTGCACCAGTCTACTACTATTTCTTCCATGGGTACGGCTGTATGTATTTTGCAGTCGGTTTCGAACTTTCCACCTTGGCATGCCTCTAGGATTGCTTCTGTAGCCCACACCACACAAGTCTCCCCATCCCTTCGGAGAACTACGCGGTTTCCTCTTGCTGGCCAGGCAGCATCCATATCCCTAGGTGCTATGTATCCCAGTATCTTGTATTTCCCTTTGGGTATGTCCTGCATTCAGTGCACCTTGGCCCAGAGCGGCGGAGCATCAGTCAGGTAGAACTCGGGACCGTCCGCTCCAAAGAACAGCTTACGCAGGTTGTTTGTTCTCCTAGCTATTCTTTCTACAACTTTCCTATGCTCTGCCACTGCTGCTTCTATGGCTTTCCTGTCTTCTTCCTTCACTTGCAGGATGTTGTTCTTTCTTTCCAACAGCTCTGCGTGGTATGCCTTCGTAGCTTCGACCCACTCGTCTCCCTCCAAGTCGTCTGATATGTCTTGTAGCCTTTGCTGTCGCCGTCTTTTGGACAGGAAGGATATCCTTCTGTCGGTTGGCACTTCTAGTATGCCAAAGGGRCTCTTTTCCACTCCTAGCCTTTGTGCTTTCTTGGTGCGCCAGACCCATTCTACGTGCTCTGTGGTGGGCAGCATGTCTGCAATGGGCGGGGGATCCTTGTGCACGCGCGTAGGCATCTTGGACTCCGACAATATGGTAGAAGAGTCTTTCGTGTAGCACCGCAGGGGTTCCATCCCAAGCACATCTATGCGAAAGATGGGACGCCTACGGAAGCCAAACTCTCCTTTGGCCCAAAGTACGCACTCCTCCCATTTCTCGTTCCCACGCACTCGTACGCCAGCTATGCGTCCAGTTGCCACATTGCAGTACCATGCCAAGAAGATCTCTTTCGTCTCCTCGCAGCAGATGCAAAGACACCTATCCAAGCACTTTGCAAGGGTAAGCCACATGTTCTTGGGTGGCTGCACTACAAATATGTCCTGTAGGGGTGCTATGGTCTCTGCGATGGCATTGGTATTTTCCTTGCAGAATCTCTTGCCGTAGATGGATATTTCCACCCTGGTGCAGCCCCTTGCTTGCACATCTGGGTGCAGGAGTGTCTTTCTAAGGTGGTCGTTGGGGCAGTCTACGTACTCGGCTAGCTTTGCACCTACTGAGTCTTGCACTTCTCCAGCTTCGAAGTTGGACACTACCTTGTTGTATATCTTGGTCCTCTTCCCATCTTCCATCCAAGTGCATACGTGTTCTCCCACTTGGTGCGTATTTTCCAATATCGTGCCCTTGCGTGCGCCTCCTACAGACTGCAGCTCGTAGCCCAGCTCCTGTAGACGACGTACCAGCGCCCGTCTGTCTAAGGTGCCAGAGAAGTCTTGGGTGTAGTCTATGGAGTAGATCCCATATCCGTGAGCATGTAGCAGCGCTGCGAATTTGGGTATCTTCTCGTCTACCATTTCTATGGGCAGCTCCGAGGCGTCTACTTTGGCTACGGATACTGCGGCAGGCTCTACGCCATGCAGGCCACGCCATTTACCCCTGGCATCGTCCTTTTGCTTTGCAATGTTCTCTACTATGCTTCCTTTCCTACAGGTGTGGACTATGCTCGTTGGTAGAAATACGCCAAAGGTCTCGGTGGCCGCAGTAGATATTTTGGCTACTAGGGTCTTTGCATTTCTGCACAGCAGCTTCTTTCCGTACAGGTTGTCTTCTGCGACAAACCCATAGACAAATACATCGTCCACAAAGGGTGGCAGTCCAGACAGCGACTGCAGGCWGGTTGGTCCTTCGTTTCCTTCCAAATACTTGCAGTTGGATATGTCGGGCAATAGGTTTCCATCGTATGCGTTGTCCCGCAACAAATGTGCCAACACCCTACTTTTTGCCCGTACGCCCATCTCTTGCAAGGTTGCCGAAATGCTCTTTTGGTAATCCATTCTCTATATGTGGGGATAGAAGCTTTTGGACTACTATAGTGTCGATCTGCAAAGGGCCCAAAATCGAGGCCCTTCTACAGCTGCGGGCAGGCTACGTAGCCACTCTGGCGCAGCTGCCGCGGCATAGATAGGGAGGCCCCTTCTACGCCTGCGTGGCCACCCTGGCGCAGCTGCCGCGGCAAGGGGGCCCTGTTTCGGTGCTACCTTGCCTCCTGCGGGACAAGGGAGGCGACTCGCCGCACTTCTACGGCTGCAGGGCCCTTCTACAGCTGCGTGGCCACCCTGGTAGAAGGGCGCGCTGTTTCGCCGCTACCTTGCCTCCTGCGGTCGCCGCCCATAGGGACGGCTGCCCCAGTACGGGGGCTCGACTCGTTCCTCCCTGCGCCAAAACGATGGGAGTCGGCTGGTGGAGGTGATTCGCCTCTGTCTCCCCAGGGCTACTATTGGACGTTGCAAAAAAAGAAATTCGACGCCTTGCAGCACAGTCCTGCGGGGGACACAAAAAAAGGTTGCCGAAACGATGGGATTCTATACACTCTACTAATACATTTCGTCTTTTTCATCTTCAAATGCTTCTTTAGATCGGATTCTTTCTTAAAACGTCTGTTACATTCTTCACACCTCATATAATTACATGAGATCTCAAGCCCCACGCCTGGGCCTTCACATATAGACTGGGATGGGAGTTGCGCTGTTGTCGTACGGGTATTACCCGCACGCGGACATTAGACGGGGATTACTCGGATCAGAGTTGCGCTGATACCCCCATCCCCTATACTACTCTAAGGTATCTTCTGATACGAGAAATGTTTCTAATATGAAAAAATGAAACTCTACGAATGTCATTAATATGTTTCTCAAGGTTCACCGTTGTGTCAAATACGACACCAATGTTTCGTGCATCATCAGTGGAGCTGATAGATGCATCACCAACTACAATACACTTTAGTGGTGGCATTGGTCGATGCTTTGAGTGGAGGATCAATAACTCGGTCTTGCCGTTGTTTAATTTTAGATTGCTCTGCAACATCCAGCTAGTGATATCACGCAGGCAGTCTTCAACTTTGGTATATGCTATTCAAGATATAACTAGCTAAAAACTAGTGTGCTATTCAGTCGTGAGTGCGTTTGTAAACTTAAGCTAGGTAGAACCGAATCACACCGGTAGTTGCCAATTACTGAAGAAATAACAGGCATGCAAGAAAGGAGGATCTATTATAGCTAGGACTAGATGACGCGAGATGTTTTTCTTGAGTCAGTAACGGCGTAAACGATAAATGGCATATGACTATATACTGAAAATCTTTTACAAACTAATTTTTTATTAAGTTGAGCAGATTTCTTCTTTTTAATTAATCGACCAAAAATATCAGAACTTATTCGACAAGAAAAGGGTTAAGAATGTATTTATCACCTGCCTGTCTTGGACGAGGATCATACTAACCTTAGYCAGGTGATATGAAGAAGTTCACAAGTCGGCAGTTGTTGTCACAGAAAAAAATTGCTAGAATCGGATAGTTTCAACATGACCGTAAAATGAAATCATAAGCAATCGTCGAAAATATTCTCAGAAATTTATCACCGATTTAATTAACCAGATCTAGAGTTTCTAAGAAACGCGAATGTCAACATCTGGGGGAGCCAAGAATTAAGGGATGATTTATTCCAAAAGCTTTATCTAATTTCAGTGAATAGCCTATACAACCAATACAAAAGCTTTCTGAATCAGTTTTTTCTGCTCCAGAAAAAAATAACTGTTCTAGCAGTCTTGTCAGTATGAATAAGTTAATCCTCATAAATTTGTAACAAATATTTATTTGAAAGCTTATGGTCGGTAGAARCTTTATAGAACAGTAATCGTATATACACTATACAATATAACATTGTCACAGTGAATATAAAATCTTGAAAGCTAAACACATTGAAGTAAAAATTGAAAGACATTATGTATTTTGAAAATATTTCCAAGAGTTTGGCTTGGTCATTGGTGCAAACATAAAACACAAGTTCTGTAGGTTTCTGTTGCTTAGTGCTATGGAAAAAACAATTCCACTTCTTTGGAAGTAACTTAATTATCGGATCTGGGGAGGGGGTGGATTTGGTTGCTGTACATCCTCTTGTGAGTAAGTAGAAAATGCGAATAAATAATAGATCCGATCCTTTTTAACATTATGCCAGGTGTTCGAGGCTAACAAGAAAATGAAAATGAAATACTTTTTGAATTTTCAGTCCCGCTGGCCTCGCAACCAAGATAGTTTGTTTTTAAAAGTCTATGAAATCTAGAGAAAGCTATGTATAATGGCTTTCGACGTGGCTAGAGAACGAGAGAATAAGAAAAAATATCGTAAATAGATATTTCCCGGATTCGCTTGCCGACCACGAAACAATGGTTCCAAGCCGAGGCTGAACTTGATATATTTATACATTTACTGCTAGCCTATACATTATACACTTACATTATACATTCAAGTCTAGCCTCGAATTGGAGTAATTGTTTCGTGGCCACGCAAGTGAAACCGGGAAAGGTCTTTTATTTATGATATTAAACTGATAACACCGGCACCACTTCTTTTGGATTCATCTGAGACGACGAATGAGGTTGCCACATTCAGTAAAATATAAAATTTGTTTCCATTGGGAACGAGTCATCCTTACCTGTGCTTTTCATTTTACTTACACTAGTTATTCAAACTTTGGAACTCTTTTACCAATTTTTGCAGGTTCCCCAGTGCTGAAGTCACTAGATGCTACTGAAGGTGACGCCGTTACTTTTGTATGGGACCTTATAAGCCCTGGAACAGGAAAGATAGATAGGTTGGAATGGGGAATTTGGATCAATCCTACCAGATGGTATCCCTGTATTGTCTTGACGAGGAAATACCCGCCAAAACATGACAGTAAAATAGTGTGCAAGTCTCTTTATTCTCGGATGAAACCCCCAACCAAAGAGAATCTGGAGCAAGGAATATCAGCAATGGTATTGCTAAATTTCACCAATGAAGATCCAAAGAACTTCTACACCGACGTTCAGCTGGAAGGGAGATACAATAAAGAAGATCCTATAATATATCAAGTCAAAGTTTCCCCTAGTAAGTATATATAAGATATTTTACAATAAATTGATGAAAAACGAAGAGATCGATATTGAAAACTACTATAGGTG